ATGAATTAAAATTATACCTCAAATTATATAATTAAATCAGTAACGTTAATGTTTTATCGGATATGTTAACATTAAATTGGAAATATTAAATCGGTACAATCCATATTAAATTGGAAATATTAATAATAAATCGGATATGTCAAGATGAAATCAGATATATATCTATCGTAAACTGGAAATGTCAACATTATACCTGAAACATAGGATTCAGTACTATTAATATTAGATCGGTATTGTTAATATCAAATAGGATCCTATCGTATAAATTTCCGTAATGAACACCTGTAATCGGGTCTCAACGACAGATCCATAGAATGACCATCTCCAATCGGCAACAAATTACTACACTTATAATCGGATCTCACCGGCGAAATCCTAACCCTCACCAACCTGTAATCGGCGACAGGTTACTACAATACACACACCTGTAATCGTATCTCAACGACAAAATCCTAACCCTCACCAAACTGTAATCGGTGACAGATTACAACACACACCTGTAATCGCATCTCAACGACAAAATCCTAACCCTCACCAAACTGTAATCGACGACAGATTACAACACCTGTAATCAGATCACCCCCAAAAAAAAAAAATAGTAATCCCAACCCAAACCTTGACTCCAGAACATGGTAGCAGCAACCTCTCAGAAAAATCGCGTCGAATTATTTTGGTACGCTCCTCAGGCCATCGTCATTAGGTTTTACGACGTGTTCTCTGTAATGATTGTCGTAGCCCTAAGCAGCCTAATATAGTCGTAAACAGATGGGAACAGGTTTAGTGGCTGGAGCTGGATGAGGCAGATTCTTGGTGACGAACGGCAAGATGTGGACAGAGTGACGGATGTGTGTACGGCCGGGGTCGGACCCTTGGCGCTCTAACCACGACAGGGACGAGGGAAGATGCTTTTGTGTGTGTGTGTGTGTGTGTGTGTGTGTGTAAAATTATTTGTATCTCTGTCTGTCTGTTTGTCTCTGAAAGTATTTGTATCTGTCTGTCTCTGTCTGTCTGTCTGTCGTTATCGTATTTATGTATATTATCCAGTTGGTAATTGAATTCATAGTGTCTTTCATTAAATATAAATGATATCCACATCACACACGTAGGTTATCCATCACTGTGTCTTTAATCCACCAACTAAGCTCTCAAACTCCATATAGAGTCTTGTGCGAGATATGGATTGTTGTTGTTGTTGTTGTCAGTCGAAGGTAGAATATTAGTTTATCAACAGTAAGAATAATTGTTTTATCTTAAATCTTTCTTTTTAATTTAACGATACTAAATATTGTTTTAGTTATTTTGAGATGTTAGGTTAGGTTAGCTTTGGTTGTGGTTGTGTTAGGTTGGGTTGGGTTGGGTTGGGTTGGGTTGGGTTGGGATAGGTTGGGTTGGGTTAGGATAGGTTAAGATTACATTAGGTTTGGTTAGGTTGGGTTAAATAGGTTAGGTTAGGCTATTTTATGTTATGATAGGTTAAGTAACTTAGTTTAGATAAGGAAAATTAAGAAAAAAAAATAGGTTTGTAATAAACTAATGATGTTACTCATATATAGTTTATGTTTACCTCACTCTTACTATATACTAAAACCTTTATTAAATGTCGTAAACCCTCAAAAAATCGTATTAAATTATCGTTATCAATAAATTATTCCCCCAAACACAAGAGATATATTTCATTAACTCAAGAATTCTATATGGATGAGTGATACATAATACTGTCTAGTTCTGAAGTATATTATGCTCACATGGTAAGAATATATTTTGCCAATGACTGAGACCCATAGAGAGAGACAGACAGACAGACAGACAGACAGGTAACCGAGAACGTAAACACAGGGAGAAAGAGACGACACAGAAACACTCAAGGAATTTTCGACTGTCCCAGAAATCCAGTTGGACCTCCTACATCGGTTCGCGGTTGGTCCATAGACTCTGTGACTGTATACATGGCACGCCGTCCCATCTAAGTGCTTAGTTGGTCCATAAACGGTGGATGGTACAACGCTAATCTTTGGATCTCCCAGAGAGGCAGAGAGAGAGGGGCTACGGAAAGACAAATACCTATTACCAATGTTTAGATCTCGGCATTCGTCAGAGCTGACCTGGTGGTGGCAAGGGGGAAGGTGGTGGACGGAGAATAGACTTAAAAGCAATAAATAAATAAATAATTAAACAAATAAATAAAATAAATAAATAAATAAATTAATTAATTGAATAAATATAATAATAATATTATTATTATTATTATTAAGAAGAAGAAGCTTTAATGACACTATTACGTATATACAAGCTCTAAAAAAACTTTTAATTAAACCGTTTGGTGATCGTATTCCTCAGGTAGTGGAGTTGATTTGGGTTGGGTTTTGATGTGTGAGAGAGAGACAGGTGATGTAGATAGATTAATAGATAAGTAGCAAGATAGAAAGGGATATAAATGAATGCATGTATGTGAAGAAAAAGATGAAACCGTACAAAAAAGCAAAAGAAAAAAGATGGACATGCTAAAGAGGGCGAAAAACAGAAGAGAGGCAAAAATACAATAAAAACAACAATGAAAGCTAAAGATGTAGAAAGACAAACAAACTGACAAACAGGAAGATCACATATCTCTTACAGGATATTTAGGTAATTACTCAACTATATCACTCCCTAATGGTTCAAATACTTTAGAAAGGTTTAACCACATCGTTTTATATCACACTGGTAATTTGTACTAAAGTGCCATATTAACTAGCCTTAAAACCTCAGAATTTCATTTAATTTCACTCTTTAGATCACATGATATTATGGTCCCTTTGAACATATTCTATAATCTGTATCAGAAATCTGGCATTGGTTCTCAGGATTCATAATTTATTGAAGGTGCTTTGGGATAGGAAAATGTAATGAAACCTATTTGGTAACGTTAGCTCTAATTATAGTCTTATTATATTTCAAAAAAATTCAGGGCTTCATAACTATATTAAAAAACTAATTCATCTTTATTTCTCTTTAGATTCATTATATGGAGATTATTTCATCGTTCATTTAATTTTATATATGAAGATAAGTTTACTGAGACGATTTATGGATCTTGAAAATAAATAAAATGTCAAAAATAGAAAAACAATTATGCAGAATTTTCTTAATGGGGAACGTGTATAGGAATATACAGGCCATCGAAAGATTATGTCAGTATTTAAATTATTAACCATTTAATATCTGGGTAATTTCTTGTCTGTTCTATGGTCCCTGGTAGAGTTAAACATAGAAGCTTATGAGAAAAGAAAAGATAAATGGATAAATAAGATGACTTGATGGATGGCGAATGAAGAAAATAATAAGAATAGAGGGATAATCATAATAAATGAACGGACACAACAAACAAATGAAGAGATAAAAAAGTAAATAAACACAGAACGAAATACAGAAACAAAGACAGACACAGATATAAAGTGATAAAGACAAGTACACAGAGAAACGAATAGAGACAGACAGACAGACAGATAAACACAAGCACAAAAGAAACAGAGATAAACACAGAAAACATTGAGAGAAAGATAATACTCGGGAAGACATAATGTGTGTGTTTACTGTAAGGTCCTCAACCCTCTCATGAACTACCACCACCACTACCACCACTACTACTAACACAACCTCTTGCTGTCCTGTCTTGGCTCGTAAATAAGTAACGATTACATTCCTTTTGCCTACTAATATAAGCGTTTCATCTTCCTCACCTGGGCTATTTACTACCTCAAATCACAAGGTATACGTGTTGGATTTCCTCAACCTACCATATAGTTTCTATTACCCATTATCTGTAGTATTGTTATTATTTTTATCTACAGGAAGGTGTAAATAAGGAGCAACAAGTAGTTTTGCTGTCCTAGCCGAGGAAAGAGATATTTTACTCCTACAGAATAATATTGTCTTTTGTTAACGCTGCCTGGTAAACGCCACACATAACAATAATACATCCCACTACTGACTGTCTATTTAGTAAATGTGTACATATTGGTTTTTAACAAGCATATAAGGCCATGTTTGTATTCGTCACTCTACGCAGGGCTGCGGGCTGCTGAAGGATGAATGGAAGTGAAAAATATCCTGGCATTACAGAAGATCAGAAGTAAACAAACACACTTCACGAGGGTCGTCTGTCTGAGTCCTGTTTGGGCTACCATATAACCTTCGCGTGCAAACATCTTAATGAGGTCTTGGTTTCTACCGTTTGATCTTTAGTTTTAAGAGCAAACAAATTTACTTTCTGTTGTAGTAACAAGCATGCAACTGTGTTTTCTTTTGGTATTTGTGGGACGAACAGATATTTTTGTAAATGTTTTTGTTTAAATATGAATGCTTCAACACCGTCATTACACCATAATGAGTCGTCATTACACGAATACTTAACTAAATGTTACACTAACTGTACACTGAGCATAACCAAGATACACCGAGCACAACTCTCCCCCTTAAACATTCTTTCCTGCACAGTATCTAATACTTTTATTTCCCAAGGGCGAGAGACCGTGGGGGAGCTGAGGCCAGGAGGTGTGACGCCCCACACGTGATGTGATGCGTCTCACGGCTCGTTGGTAATTCGAGAATCCTTCCTTAAGGGTAGCGAGAACACGAGAGGTCGACACGGCTAAGGAGGGGGGAGGAGGAGGAGGAAGGGTACACGTTGTATGGTTTATGGCACTCGGATGTTTGTTGCTTGGATGGGCTGGTTGGCTACTCGACGCTGGCTGGCGCTGGGAAGGCGAGGGAAGGCGGAGACCAGTAGCTCGCGGGCTTAGCGTGAGGACCTCACGCGGGCGGTATTGAAATCTCCTGAAGAAGTGTTGATATTTTTTTCTTCTTTTTTATCGTTGTTAGATATTTAATGGGGAAATATTTTTTTTAAGCAGGGGGAAGGAAAAGGGGAGGGGACTGATCACTACTTTAAGGGGTATTTTTTCTTCTTTGAAAATGACGAACAAGACTAACAGTGTGCATTGTATTTAGTGAAGGCTTACCTGACCCGGCGACGTGAATCTTCTTCATCCAGGGGTAGATGACGGGCTGGCCGTTGGCGTCCAGCTCCGTGACTGTCTCCTCTGGTGAGCCTTCCACGCCTCCTGCACCCATGTGTTGTGCCATTTGAGCGCCCATGCTACCGCCTCCACCCGTGCCACCCGCTGAGGGGTCTGGTGAGGCCACCGGGGAACGCGGCGGCACTTGGTGTTGCTGTAGGGGGCTGTGGCAAGGCGCTATCTGGGGGCTGATGTGGGCAGCCATGGGCTGATGCTGGGGCATGACGCACGCCTGCTGATAATAGCCTGCATGGTTGTACTGCATGGCATCGCGCCCATACTGCATACCAGCCTGATGCATGCCATGGTAAGGGTAGTGTTGGGCAGGGTTGTAGTAATCACTCTGGGGCGGGATGTAAGAGTTCTGGCTGTACTCCTCCGGCGGAGGGAACTTGGGGTCCACGTACGGGCCCGAGTTCATCAAAAACGAACTCATCGTCATTAATTTTTGGTGATTTGGACCCAAATAATATTACTTGTGAGCAGTGCCTCGATCGTTGGTTTTGACTCCTCCTAGCACCGACAATTAGCATACCACGTGACCTGCGAGCACCAATACGAGGGGCTCCGTGTGACCCGCGCTGGCTACGTCACCATGATTAATGAATTGAGAGAACGAACCACCAGGGCTGGTCGGGCTCTGCGCGCGTCCCGACCCGACCACCCGACCGATCGCCACAAGTCCCCGATAAGCACTGAGCCCGGGGGTGGAGTTCTCCTGACGACGGGGCAGCAGCAGCTGTAGGACCCGGGGGGCGGGCACCTGGGCGAGGCTGAGGGCACCACCACCTGCCCTAACACCCACTCTCACAAGGCTCACTCACTGCACTGATCGATGGCCTCTGTTCACGTGTGCTTCGTCCAACAGCCAGACGATGATTGGCGTTGATTTACTGCCGGCCGGGCCCCATGTGTGTGTGTGACCTGCGCACTGCCACTGCGCACCTCCAGGCAAGGGTTAACATGCCCCCTCCCCCCTCCTCTTCTTACTTAAGACGAGTGTGTGTGTGCGCGGGCGATGATTGGCCCCCCACCCCACTGTTGGATCCGCCACTCAAGTGGGTTTACTTGGTCTGCCTGCAGCCGCCATTGGCCACACTTGGTCTTCTGTTGACGACGGGAGCACTTGGACCAATTTAGCCCGACGCGTCCGTCGCCGAGGTGCAGCGGTGACTGCTGCTGGTTGTGTCCTGGCTGCGTCACACTGGAGGGAGGACACGTCACTCTCGTCACGGCATCAGCCACTGGAGTATCACCAACCAGGACTTGCCTGTGTGTATATGTGGGTGTGTGTGCGACGGCTCATCCGTCCGTCCGTCCGTCCGTCCCTCACCGATACAATTAGCGAAGTGACAGAGGGCGGTGGGAGAGCGCGCGAGTGGTGTAAGCGACGGAACAGGAGTAGGAGGGGCTGCCGGTACCTCACCTGTGGCCGCCGCCGCCTCTCTCCTCGTCCCCGACCCGCGGAACTCCCTCGAGACTCGCTAGTGAGAAAAATTAACCGATTGTATCGGCGAGTGTTTCCCCACATACCTTCGTCACGTCCCGAGTGTGTCCACCACCAGGCCGCCGACACAGTGCATCTCTTGCAACCGCCTCACCTCCCGTGTGTGTGTGTGTGTGTGTGTGTGTGTATGTGTGTGTGTGTGTGTGTGCCGAAAATTTTAATGAAGGAAATTACTGGTTGTTTATTTACGGCGCATGATAATGAATATTGTTAAAAGTTTCAAGTGAACCTTCGCTGAAATATATATGTATGGTGGCCGAGTGATATAATGATAATGTAAATAATTACTCTCGGAAGTGGAGGACGTGTTAATTTTTCTTTATGACCTGTCTTAAAAACACGAGGTAATTTTGCACTAGTGTACGGAGATATTATATCGGCTAATTGGATAATATTTTATTAAACACCGCGTTTAATGATGATCGTCGGGATCGTGACTTGTATTGTATTTTTAGCACGTATCCCTGGATGATATATTTCAATACTATGCAAACAAATTAATAGATGTGAGGATTAATAATTTATAACCCTAATTTAAGGTCATCCTATATTCTAAGAGGATATTTCCCTGGTTACTGTTTACCATACACCTTATTTATAACACTATACCGCTTCAACAGACGTTATCCAATGCGAAAAACTGTGACACAAACGCCATTTCATAATTATATCATTCAAACCCTGTAATTCCCGCCTGTACAAAAAGACACACACAGACAACACACGAGAACTCTTTACCGCTTCAGAAGATGTTGCTCAATGCAAAATTGTCGCACAAACTTTGCATAATTCGTGGTTTTGGCTCATTTTGCATAATATATGGCTTTGGCAAATTGTTACAACAGCTGTGAGGGGGAAGTGTGTGTGTGTGTGTGTGTGTGTGTGACTGAGTGAGGGTGTGCGGCGGGCGGGGGCGGGTCGACAGCGTGGTGGAGTGGTGGTAGTTGGCTAGCTGGTTGGACCGGACAATGTCGCTCAGCCAAGTTTCAGATTACCGCAAGTGGCATTAGACACCCACGGTCGGAAGTTGACTGGTCCTCCTGCATACCTGCCAATTAGCTCAGACTTGTACCTCCAAACCACGTCGATAATCTCCTATTGATCACTACTCCTCGTTGTCCTTCTGGTATTGTTCAACGACTCTTCCCCTGTTCCTCCTCCACTTAGAACTTCAACATTTACATAACTCACCTGTACAGCTGTTCACGAGGTTCAGGGACAGATAATAATGAGAAAAACACACCTCGTTCGCTTCCTCCCCCCCTTGGTTTTCCTCCTCCTAAACTCACCTCTTCATTCTAATCATATATAGTTTGGCTCCGAGTCCCACCCTCAACATAGTCACTTTCCTTGTGATTTACTTAACTCTTATCTCTCTTTCTCTCCGTCACTCCTTTTATCCATTCCCTATGTAAGTCAGTAAAAACGGCGCTTTTTTTTTTACTCCATCGGCAGAGAAGTGAGTTCAGAATAACTTTGGAAGGCCATCATGATACGAATATAAATAAGATTATTTTTCTGTACAATGTTTTGAAAATTTTTAATGGAACTGTGAACGCGAGTGTAAGTGATTATTATTCGTATATAAATTCAATAGGAACTGAATATCTTTGTGATTATAGAAAAACATTAATTTATATTTCATTATTGTTTAAAAATCCGTTGTGACATATCTAAACATACGAGAATAACAACACCCTTCAAGATGAACTAGACAAAATAACAAACACCATACTCATTTATTGTAGAGACAAAAATATTAGTACAGATTAGAACGTGTCGTCTCAGAAGAATAATAAAAAAAATTAGTGTCCCCTTAGAACATGTGTCGCCTCTAATGACTTTTAAACACCTCCAGGAGAGAGATAGAGAGACAGTGAGAGAGGGAGATGCTTGAAGAAATTACCTTAATGACTCGTTACACCAAGTGAGCTATTTATTACCAAGGAGGTCGATAAGTTCGTCTCAGCGGTACTGTGATTACTTTCTGTTAAGTTGATTACTTTTCGTCGCTCTCTTACTCTACGATTATCTCCGAGTTTGTGTTTTCTCAAGGAGCAGGAGGAAGAGGAGGAGGAATTCGCTGTTCCTTGATGTTTACGCTCGAGTTTTATATTTAGAGCTACAATTTATGCTTCGATATTTGAGGTTTCGTGAATTGATTAATTTTCCTGTTTGTTGAAATATGGTAATTTAAGGTGTATTTTTTCTTTGGTCTTGCGCTTCACGTTAACCATAGTATGAGTACATTAGATTTACTGTTTATTGGAGCATTATATACAGATTTACAGATTTTTTGAAGTGCTGAATATGTAGTCTTATGTTATGTTAATATTATAGAGTTGTTACTTAGTGAAATCGTGATTATCGATATATTTATATTTGTATAATCACTGAAGTATAGAATTTTACTAAATATTTTAGCTAGAATATATAAAGTACTATCATGAAATGTTGTTATTTTCTCAGTGTAACTCTTGTTGATATTCAGAAATAAATTGTAAATTGAAGTTTGATTTTTCACTTCTAACGCCTTGTTATTGTTACTTTAGATGTGATGTAGTTTGTGGGATAATACAAAGGCTGACAGTTTTTGGTGACTTGCATATATATATATATATATATATATATATATATATATATATGCATCATACACTGACCTTACGAGATATTAATTGTTTGAATATATGATTATTATTATTATTATTTTTTTATTATTATTATTATTATTATTATTATTTTTATTATTATTATTATTATTATTATTATCATTACGACAACCTTGTTGGCCAAGATATAAGATTTTTTATCCAGTTTTCATATATATATTATTTTAATCCACAATATATTTTTGCAGGATTTAATAGAAACTTGAGTAAATTTCCAAGCATTGATTTGTATTGAATTTAAAAAAAGGGGAAGATATGAATAAATTTAATGTAGGTGTTTATAACTTACTTGAAAAGACAATGGAAAGCTATACATATTTACTATTTACTTAATACTCTGTGATAATTATAGAAATAGTACAACAGAGTTATTGTTATCATAGTTATGGAAACAATTAAAATGTAGTTAAGAATTTAGTTTACATATAACTAAACCATCAAATTAAAACATCAAATAAATCGAAAACTGTATTTGTATTTCTGCTAAAATGAAAAAAAAAATAAAACTTTCTGGTGTTTTTCTTCTTAGAAAACTGCGTAGATTTTTTTAATTTGATATAAAATAAAACTAATTATTTAATCTGTTGCCCAAAAATTTTGAACTATACAGAGGGTGTACATCAGTTTTTCGTAAGGAGACCAAAAGGTTTTTAGAAGACTTAATACTCACTACCAGAATATTTTTGTATCTCAGTATGTTGGTGATGATGAAGGCGATGTACATGACGTGCGTTATCACGGTAAGATATTGTTTTAATAGATTGAACTAAGATGTTGAGGATGGTGGCAACTATGGCGCTGCCTCTACTGTATATAATGATAAACATAATGGCGAGTCAATAATCACTTATAAACATTGCTGGCATAATAATAAAGATGATAATTATGATGATGAAAATAAGGATGATAATGAAAACAATATATTTTACTATGATTATAATATTGATGTTTTTAAAAAGAAAATAATTTTGCTCATAAGTTGAATTTCATTTAATTTCTTTCATCAGGTGACAATAACGATAATCTCCTAAGAGTGAAACTTAATCCGTTACTGTAATTTTAAGAGATGATAATTACCGTTAATTATGGCATCAACAACTTAAAAGAGACTGCATAAAAAATAATTAACAGTTGGTAAAGTAATTAATGCACATAAAAGAAGAATCTAAAGACCATTTACCATATATGAAATAAATAGAAATACCAAAATTAAAAAAATTAAAATGGTAAAACAGTAATTATATAATGAAAACCAAATTTATATACACTAAAATCAGAACCTTACTAAGAACATAAAACACAAAAACAAGGAAAAACCCCCAAGAAAACAGAGATAATACCCACAACAAAAGCCGACTATTGGTAAAGAAAGTCGAGTATTGTTGTGTTTTTTGCAGTTAGCGGACTTGGTCATAAGGGAGGCGGTGGGGTCTGTGTTCCAACAGCTGCGACACTCTGATAGTAATTACGTCGCCTTCTGTAGAACCATTTAATATTACATTGTCTTGATATTTCTGGATTATTATTAGCTTAGAACGACGCTATATATGTTTGTCAGAAAGTTTTGTAAAAATAATAATTATAAAATAGTAAATAGATAGATAATTGTGAAAAGAAAATGATTGAATGACTTGTTTCTATAATACTTTTCAGAAATTAATATGAAAAATTTACATATTAAATTTCAATAGAGAATATTCACTCTTATTTTATCTTATCAAAACAACACATACGTATAGTAATTTTAATGAAGAATTTAATAGCACTAAATATAACATAACTTGAATAATTATAATATACTAATGTATATATATAAATGAGCTTGTTATTATTAAGAAATTATTCTATTTTGGGGATTATCATTATATTGAACAAATTACACAAGTGGGAGATAATTGTATAAGGTCAGAGATATACTGTACCACTTTTTGTTTGTTATATCTAGATGAGAAAAAATGGTTATAGAACTGTTGACAAAAACATACAAAAGAAAATTATATCAATGAGGGACACGATAATGTTTTGTGTGTGTGTGTGTGTGTGTGTGTGTGTGTGTGAAAAGAAAACACCATCAGT